AAAAAAAAGAGAAAAGAGAATTTTGGTTCATCATAGCCTAGCCATGGAAGTAAGTTTGCTTCCTTTAACATTCAACAGATTAGCAAGGCTAGTAAGATTATTTCCTTAGTAACTTTCTGGAGAAAAAAAAAAAAACTCTTGCAAGGAGTTAGAGTCCACATTCCATGCATAGTTTTGTACTTCTATTTTCTCACCTGAAGTGTGGATCACTTTTGCCACCACAACTCGCAGGGCTGTTAATTCCTCTCAGGAGCAGAAGCTAACCCAGACTACATTCTGCTGCTTTTTGGATAAATACACAATGACTGGGTACTCCTTACCTCTTTTTAGCAGCTTCTGAATATCCCCAGAAGAACAGGTGACGGGCATATATGTACACCAGACCCAGACAAGTAGCAAAAACTGTAAAGGGGGAAAAAAGGATGATAGAGGTCTCTTAAAACATGGTACGAAAATTGAGAAAATATTCAGAAGACATATATCTGCCAAAATACTTGGATCCAGAATGTAGGAACAACCTACACAGGAAGATAAACAAATGCGCCAATAATCACGTGAAAAATATCTCAACACGATTCAACATCGGCAAACTGCCACTTAAAGCTCCAATAAGGTAACGCCACTGTATATCCACCAGAGTGGTTAAAATTTAAAAAGACCAACAAAAGAGAATGTTGGTGAGGATGTGGAGCAACTGCAATCCTCATACGCCATGGGTGAGAACACAAAATAGCACAGGCACTCTGGAAAACTTCTGGTAGTTTCTTATGAGTAGACCTTTGGACCCAGCAGTTCAATCTTCCATATTTACCCAAGAGAAATGTGAGTACATATCCATAAAAAGATGTATACAAAAATGCTCATTGCAGCTTTATTCATAATAGCCCAAAGCTGGAAACGGCCCGACAAGAGCATGGATAGCCACTCTGTGGTAGAGTCTGTGCCACTCGATTCAATGAAATGCCACTCAGCGACGAAAAGAAAAATATCTGCAACATGGTGAGATCTCAAGAAGATTATGGAGAATGAATGAAGCATTATACAGGGTTTCTTACTGCACGATTCCAATTACATGATATTTTAGAATGCAACACTAAATAAAAAAAAAAAAAAACAAAAACCCAGAAGTATTCGCATCTGGAAGGGGGTGAAAACGAAGACTGGCTGGGAGGACCGGGAGAGCTTTCTGGGTGGTGCTCATGTTCTACACCAAGATAGGGACGGAGTCACACAGGTGCGTACCTGAGTTAAACTCTGCCAACACCTGCAGTGTTTTTCAACCTTTTTTATCTCATGGCACACTTGAACCTATAGTTAAACTTTCATGACCCACTGAAATTATGTTGATAAAAAAAAAAAAAAAGAGTTAAGGCTTGCTGCCTGTCGCTCAAGCGGCTAAGGTGCCAGCCACATACACCTGAGTTGGCGGGTTCGAATCCAGCCCGGTCCACCAAACAACAATGGCAACTGCAACCAAAAAATTAGCCAGGCATTGTGGTGGGCTCCTGTAGTCCCAGCTACTTGGGAGGCGGAGGAAGGAGAGTCACTTGAGCCCAGGAGTTGGGGGTTGCTGTGAGCTGTGATGCTACAGCACCCTACCCAGGTCAACAGCTTGAGGCTCTGTCAGAAAGAAAGAAAGAAAGAAAGAAAGAAAGAAAGAAAGAAAGAAAGAGAAAAGATGTATATATATCTACATATATATAGTATAATGATGTTTTATCATCCTGTCCCACAAAAAATATCAATGTCTTTCCCATATTACAGACTCTCTCCCTTCCTCAGCAGATGCAAACTGTCAGAGCCCTC